CAGGAAACATTGGATGAAATGCAGCTATTCTACATAAACCAAATAGAAGGGGAGAAGGGGGGAAAGGAAAAAACTTCCCCCACAAAACCCCCACCTTTCTTTTCCTCTACTTCTCTCCCATTTCTTCCTCCCCCTTCTATTTTTCTCTCTCCTTCTCTCTCCTTTAACTAACAGTTCCCAGAATTAATTCCCTTTGTGCTTCTTTGTCAGCAAAACAGCTATCAATATTACTTCCAATGGAACAACCTAAGCAACGAATTTTTATATATCCTATTTCATTAAAGAAGATTTACAAGTTTCCCAAGCCAGTTCAATCACGTTTCCAAGTCCTTACCTCCAAAGACAGACCCTTTCCAGGTGCGACCAGTGACGAGGAGCATGGGGTCAAGAGTGATATTTTGTGCTGCTGGAGGCACTCCCACAATCACACTGACACCATAGTTGTATTCGCAACAGGCTAAGGCTGCAGTCTACATTGGAAACAGATGGACAACCCAGGATCATGCAAGATTTGCCTCTGGGGCACCAAAGTTTGAATGCTTTCTCCTCCTCTCAGGGCTCCATTTGCAATTAATTTTTTGTAACTGAAACCACATCAAACCATTTCCATTGTATCTGCTCTCACCATTGTACCTCCTGTCACACGTTAGATATGTCCTAGCTTTTTTCTCTTTCTCCTTTTGTCTTAGTCATTAGTGATAAGCCATTGTTGGAAAGCAGATAGTGGGCTATGTGAAATTTAGCCACCCTGGTTAGGCCAGTAGACCATTAAGTTCCCTTTCCTAAGTTTTTGAGCCTGCTTCTGTCCCTACTTCTATCTCAGTGGCAGTTAGCTGGACTAAACAGGCTTGAAGTTAGCATGGCACTTAGCCAGTGGCTCTCAGCTCTGCACTCTTGGTGCTTAGTGGGTTAGCAAAAAGAACTAACAAGCTAACATCTCATTTGAGCACATCTTTTGGTTTCATACCATGGTTTCAGTACGGCCGATGACCTCAAAGGAATAGTCCACGCCCTGGCCGGTCATTTCGATCAGCACTTCTTGAATAGGCTTCTGGAAATCTTTAGGGTTGATACAGTCGGTGGCTCCCAGCTCCTTGGCCTTGGCAAACTTGTCACTATTGATATCAACAGCAATGATGCGGGAAGCTCCAGCTGCCTTGCAGCCCATGACAACAGAGAGGCCAACTCCTCCAAGGCCAAAGACGGCACAGGTGGAGCCTGGTTCCACCTATAATAATCACATAAACATGGCATGCTTCTACAATCTAGGTAAAGTAAAATGCATTTTCTTATTATCAACATGTTTTCAATTAAGCCACTTCTTGTAACTTAGAGAGTACCTGCTGAGAAGGAATTTACACGTGATTACCTACTACTGCAGTAGCCAGCTATACTGTTATAATGCTACAAATGACTAAGATAAATTGTCCCTAAAATGCCTTTCTGAGACCAGGTTTTCATTACACTTCTTAGCTTCAGGTTTTTGAGACACATTATTTTAATGATGTTTTATATTCAAGTAGTGTTACAATCTGTAGTGTCACTCCACTGAAGACAGTGCCTGCTGTACAAGTCACTTTTATGTATTGCTAGAAATTATGAATATTCCATATATAGGCTTCCAAGTATTCTTAGACTTAAGTTGCAATACAAGAAATCAGCTCTGTTGTAACATTTTTCTAGGGGTGATAAAGCTATGAGAGAAAACTTAATAGATGGTAGTAGGTATTTTTACTGCATTTTTAATTGAATCCTTCTGAGTACCTTAGATACTGAGAAACTGAAATAGGCAAAGAATTACTATCTTCTTAGATACTAATTCAACAGAGTCTATACTTCTTGGCTGCTATGCTGACAACCTGCTTGCAGGCCACACAATCCTGGACAGACCCCATGAGATACCAGAAACACCAACCACAATACTTACCTTGGCAGTCTGCAAAGCAGCCCCATATCCAGTGGAAAATCCACAGCCAATAAGACAGACTTTTTCCAGAGGAGCAGCAGAATCAATTTTGGCAACAGCATATTCATGCACTACTGTGTATTCAGTGAAGGTACTTGTACCCATAAAATGGTGAATTGCTTTTCCTTTACAAGTGAATCTAGTTGTGCCATCAGGCATTGATCCAGAAGCTAAACCAAAGCTGTTTGAAACATGACCAGAAATAATGGCAAGTGAGATTTGTTGAATGTGATCGGTTTTGTGTAAATAAAATCAAGGTTGTAGGTAACCCAGGAAAACTTACTCATTTTTACTGCACAGATTCCCCTTGGAGCTTAAGCAACTTTTGCACTCCCCACACTGTGGAACAAAGAGTGGAATAACCTTGTCTCCTTGAAATAAAACAGTAATTATAGTGAATTTAAAAAGGCAAATAGTGAATTTAAAAAGGCAAACAAGAAGCATGCCAGTAAAAAGGTGAATCAAGTGTATTTAAACCCTAGGCAAATGTGCTCTAGGAGTGCAGTACTGCCTTTATTTTCTTCTGTTACCCTTGGAAGATAAAACATCGCTCTCTGTTACAAAGGACATAGGGCAAAGTTATGACAACTCATTTAAATATTCCTGGTGTCTTTTTGTGGTGGGTTGAACTTGGCTGGACACCAGATGCCCACCAAAGCTGCTCTATCACTCCTTTCCTGATCTGGACAGGGGAGAAAAACTGTAACAAAAGGCCAAGACAAGGACAGGAAGAGATCACTCAGTAATTACCGTCAGAGGCAAAACAGGCTCAACTTGAGGAAATTAGTTTAATTTATTACCAATCAAATCAGAGTAGGTTAATGAGAACCCAGACAAAATCTTAAATTACACATCCCCAAACTTCTGAAAGGGACAACTGAATGTTGCCAGCTGGCCACCAGACACTTCTTCACCACCAACTCTCTGCCAGGACAACTGCACACCAATCGAGCAGCAAGAGGTTCTGCTGATGGTGCTCTGATTTTTGCAAGGAAACTGTGTATATATAGGGGAGTTCAAGTGTATGAGTCACACAATTTGTAACATGAAAAATTAATGTGATAAGGCAACTCAATCAATTAATGAGAAACAAAAAAATCAACTATGGGATAAAGGCAACTAAATCAAACAATATCTTTTCTAAAAGTAATGTTAAACAAATGCTATTGATAAACATAAAACCACTTTTAAAAAGTGTTCAGTATTGTGATCTGAAACGAACTGTTATCTTTATCTCATCATTAATTTTTCATTCTCACTCCATACTTGGCAGTACGGAGATTTTAAAAGTGAACTCCTTAAGTATTGGAACAAACTGGGTAAAACTGAGCATTTCCATGCAGATTTTGTTCAGTGCTTATTTTCTCTTAATATCTTAGCTGCTGATAGAGTTTGTTCAGGCCCATAGAAGTGTACAGAAATTCTGGCTTATCTTGCAGCAGGAAAATTAATGCCTTTCACTGATTTTTCTATCTACCCACTGAGGTTCAGAGAGAGTGTAGTGAGAGGAGCAACTGGGCCAGATAAGTGTCCTCAGAGCTATCCAAGCCTCAGTGAGCAGTGCTGACTCAACTGCACTGGTGCTGCACACAAGCAAAGCCTACAGCATCGTGGGCATCCCAGTCATGCCCTGATACTTTTAAATTTAAGTAATTCAACACAGAGACCTAAGTACTCATCTACTGAAGTCAATGGATTGTTTACGTCTTAGGAGAATTAAAAGAAGGTGCTTTGACTTGTTGTCTAGTTCTTTGCTTTGCCTTATTAGGAGAGAGATTAGCTGTGTAAACTCTGTTTAAAAAACCTGCAGCTAGTACCTGATTTCCTACAACCAACATAAAAGAATCAATGTTCTTAATCCCATAACAGAAAAACCTCTATGTAGGTGGAAAGCAAGCTGCAGATGTTTTTGCCAAAACCAAAAGCAATGGAATAGAAAGTCTGAAAATAAATCAAGATTGGCAACACAGAAAGATGTAAACAGCACATAGTTTCCCTTAAGGTATCCTTGAAAAAACTCAAGGTTGGACCTGCAAGGGGGACTATAAGAAAGCTGGGGAGGGATTTTTACAAGGACATGTAGCGACTGGACAAGGGGCAATGGCTGAAAACTGGTAGAGGGGAGATTTAGGTTAGACTTTAGGAAGGAATCTGTCACTATCAGGGTGGTGAGACACTGGTACAGGTTGCCCAGAGAAACTTGGATGCACCCTCCCTGGAAGTGTTCAAGACCAGGTTGGATGGGGCTTTGACCGACCTGGCCTAGTGGGAGGTGTCTCTGACGATGCAGGGGGGTTGGAACTATATGATCTTTAAGGTCCCTTCCAACCCAAACCATTCCGTAATTCTATGAACATTTTCCTCTGCAATACAAGTACTCACATGTAATTATCTCTGACTTAAACAAGAGTTTAAGGAAACTCTAGCACAGGGTTTGTGTTCAGTGCTGTTTCATACCTGGTTTGACTGAAGTTACTCCCTCCCCAACACTCTCCACAACACCAGCTGCTTCATGCCCAAGAATTATTGGAAAAGGCATAACCAGTGCACCAGTTATCACATGGTCATCAGAGCGACAGATCCCTGTGGCCACAATCTGATTTAGCAAGACGACAAGAATATTTCAGTGCTTAATTATGTCATGTGAAATGAGGCAGTAAAATGATACCATGTATTTGGAGAAGTTACTTGCCTCTCTCCAAAATCACATATGCACAGAATAAATCTATTGATGAAACACTTTTGGTTATGTGATTAATGATTTTCATGGTTTGTATTAGTCTTTAATCTACAAAGCAAGGCCCATTGTGAATGTTTGCTGTGCATTACTGAGTTCTATAGAGAGTCTCACTGATCATCTGGCAGAACCAATGTTCTAGCTGTACAACCATATGTGAAGAACAGAACAAAATAAATTATTCCTAATGTTTATATATAAATAGAAAAAAAAAATAAAAATTACAGAATGATGTAAATATAAATGTACTGTCATATATTACTTATAAACATAGAAACATATATATTATCTTATATTTAGATTATATTACAATATATCATATATGTTCTATAAATATATATCATACAATGATATAATACATAACTACATTCTAAATACATATTATTTCAGTATTTTAAATATATATGTTATATATACACAAACATTTAAGCTACACAGTATTTTATATCACATTTGCAGGTAGCACAACAGTATTTCTTCTGAAACATTCAAATATGCTTTACAACTTCTGTTGTCAACCCCAAAAGAAGGTTCTCCTCACTTGTCTAACTTGAAACTGCTCTAAAATGAAAACAGCTGCTGAATTATACTGAGAAAGTTCCTGAAAGGAAACAGATAACGCAAACCCAGTGAAAAAAAGGAAGCTCAGCCCTTCTGAGCTATTTCCTAGCACAAATTGAAGAAAGTAACAGATAATTTATTGTTCCATGCCATAGAAGATTCAGATTTTTGCTTTGTATTGTCATTTTTTCAGCCCATTAGAAGCATAGGTGTCTTAGGAAAAGTAAGTTTAAAAGTTAGTAAAAAAAAACACCTTTTTTTTTTTTTCTTAAAAAAAAACACAAAAACCTCATGATCAAATGTAGGGCTTGAAGCACATTCCATAGGAGCTCACTGAACAGTAACTACTCACCTAGTGAATGTTTTCTGACTGAATCCTAAAAATCCGTAGAAATAACTGTAATAAACAGCAAGTCATAATAGTTTGAAATTTTATTTTTAGTACCTTGAGGCGAACTTCATGTGCTTTTGGTGGGGCAACTTCCACTTCCTCAATAGAAAATGGCTTATTGGCTTCCCACATTACTGCTGCTTTGCATTTAATAACCTGCAAACAGAGCAAAGGAAAAGGAAATGGCACTTGCATTTGCAAATCACCACTCAGATTGTTACATTTCTGCAGGTGACACTCGTGCTCATATTTGGGGGAGGAGAGGGAAAACTACAGGAAAAAACAACCCAATTCCAAACCACAACAAAAAAGCCAGCACCAAAGCACAGCATATGCCCATTTTTTCCCCCACCAAAATAATATCTGACTTTGTTCATATTTCCATCACACGAGGTTCTGAGCAAGATGCATAATAGTCTCCCTTGATAACTGGATACCTTATCCAGCCTCATTGCTCCTTCTCTTTTTCTGACTTCCTTGGAGGATTATTTTTGATGTGTTGGATTATTGATGTATATTTGTGTCTTTTTAGAGATGGCACTCTAAATTATGTCATATATCAGGCTGTGTTAAAGTCTGTATTATTGCCTAGAACTGCCTGTATCAGCAACTGACAAAAATGGAATTCAGAGCCCCATACAGGTTTATAAATGTTTTATTACAGCCCAAGTTCAGCCATTAGGTTATGGCAGAGAGGAGACCTATGTAAAATGACATAGCACTATGACATAGCACTACGCACAGTCCTTTTGTGCAAGATGATCCACCTAGGGTACGCTGCTTCTCAAAAGAGATATTTAACCAGAGGGGAGGGGAGGTTACTCCCCATACCCAGGACAGCTTTCTTTTGTGTCTGCTAGGCTAAAGTTTGTCCATTCGCTCCACAGGCTTTGGCAGGTGCTGGTGGGCCTCTGGGCTCCCCTGATCATCTGCGACCAAGAGAAGAATGCATTAGAAGAGAGAGAACCATCATTCACTCCTCATCCCAGGTGCTCAGACAGAAGGAAGCCCCTCTTTCCACCCTGCAAGCTCAATCCTAGTGTATTCAAAGGTAGTGGAACCTCTCTGTCCCCCTATTAATTCCTGTTCTTCCTTCATGGTCTCTGCCCATCCCAGAGCTTTAAATAACTCCCATGTCCTGTAGTATGACTTTCCATGTCACCCTTATGGGTGACACTCTGTGAAGTCCTCAGTCACTCCATTCAAAGTCCTAGTGACTGAAAACATTCAGGTGGCATTATCTTGAGAGGTAAATGGAAAAGTACCTGTGCATGAGTATCCTGTGTGACTGGGACTCTGGGACTGGGAGAACTTACCACTATGCTGCAAAGTTCTTTGGAGGGGGAAAATAAGCAACGTTTTGGTATCAAAGCTTTTGAATGAGAATTAGAAATAATGTCTAATTATCAACTGTCCTGGTTTGAGCCAGGATGAAGCCAATTTTTCTTTTTACTGATTTTTTTTTTCCTTCAGTAAGCTTTCTTGTAACTAGCAACAGTGTGTTCTGCTAGGCTGATAAGACAGTGGAATGTTTTTCTAACTACTGAGGCTTCAAGGCTGCACCTGCACTCTGCCGGCTCAGACACTATGGGGAGATCTGTGACCCCCCCGTAGGAGGCTGAGTTAGACAGACAGCAAAATTGGCCAAAGATATTCCATTCCATATATCTACGTAAGCTCAGAGGAAGGTCAGAGATCACAGAAGACAACTTCCTTCCTTCTCCTTCTCCCCTTCTCTTCCGTCCATGGCCGGCGTCCAGGGAGGACTCTGTCCATCCATCACCGTCGATCCTCAGGCTTGATCTCTCGTGACCCCCATAACTCTCTGCT